ACCGCGGCCAGACGAGTGTAGTGACAGAGTTCCCCAACCTCTCTGGACGGCCGGCTGTGACCAGTGCCGGCGGTTTCGTCGCCACATTCTCTCTGATCGGTGGAGCGTGTCGCCATCCCAGCCGTCTTACCGCCAGTCTGATCGACCGGCCGGCGGGCGTCCACTGGCGAGCGTCCACCGTCGAGCGTCCACCGTCGAGCGTCCACTGACAAGCGTCCACCAGCGCAGCGGTGTGGCGGCCGGTGGTGGACGCAGCTCGTGGGTGACGCGTGCAGGAGGGTGCGTGCTCCACTGAACAGCAATATGAAACAGCTGGCAGACCGGAATCCAATTGTGACTTGCTGTTGGATTTTAATGTGTTTATTGAGTGAACTGCTAGGTTTCATTGCGATGTTTTGAGGTAACCACGGTGCGAATAGTAATTGCGTCATTCACGACACGTATATCCTGAGTACAATGGATGATTGAAATGGCATTCACTTATGCTGGTTTATATTCGAGATTCCTTTTTACCCGAGTCTTTTCACTTTTGAGTCGATTCATAAAGTATCACCTGTCGGGCTATAGGACGCTATCGTTCGTAACATCTTCGGCCGAACCTTGACCTGGTCTGCGCCGCTGTGCTGCCTTCGCCGTCCGGCGTCCGTCTCGGGAAGGGCCTAGTTTCGGGGCAGGGACGTGGCGTGGTCTTGGGAAGGGTCGCCAACAGGTGTCTGGGTCTTCAGAGCATTCATGTTCGGTCGGCTAGATTAGAGGAATGCTGATTGCTGGCCGGTCAGAATGCAGCTGTTGCTCACACATTGTCTTCACTTCCATGCTCGATATTGAGACGTTAAAGAACGTCCAGCAAATACAACGCACTGGTTCATCTTATACCACGCTGGCACTTCATAAACGGCCTTGAGCACCTCTATCTCCATGCAAGAATTTGTCTGTAAAATTGCCAATGAAGTTTGCCCCGTGCCGCTGTCATTTCCTGCTGTTTGCAAAGCTGCGACTCAACCTTTTGCTGTCTCGCCACGATTTTGGTGACATTTCAAGACTGAGTACGGATCCGGTCTCCTCCCTCCAGGCAACGAATCACTTGGCCCCAAACTGACTTGAGGGAGTTGTTTTATAGGCACTGGAGTTGACAACTATTTGCTAGACCGTCCACTCCTTATCTCAGGTAGTCCGTTGTTCACTTGGCTGCTCTGCCTGTATCATTGGACACCATCTTAAAATTGTTATGTAAACGAGCGTCGACAGCAAAAAGGCATATCGGCCTTCTCTTCCGCGGACCTCATCGCCATTTTCTCATCGTTATCGTCGCGCTCGCTGTTGTCGGCAGCGTCGCTGTTCGTACTGCCGGCGGCAGAGCGACAACTTGCGGTCATTGACCTGCATAATCCGACGACCCGTCGTCCAGTGACTCCTCACTTGTGGACCGATTGTTTCGTGCGGCGGTCCGTCCGACGGAGACGTTCATTTCACGGATGGACGGCGTTAACCGGAGCTTCGCCGCCTCGTAGAGCTGTTTGTTAATCCATTAGAAAGCCGCTAAGAGGATTTGGACACTCGACAGAGGGAGATCGATAACGCTGCCGAGTTAGTGGTGGAGTCGACCAACTAGAGGACAGGTGGTCATCACGTGGGCTGAGGCGATGACTTATGGATGGGAGTAATTGGATTTGGGCCGAAATTATAATTAACGGTGTTCCAAAAATAGGTGTAGTCCACTAAGACGGGAAATTTACAATGTATTGATTGGTTAATAACGGTCTGCAGGAAGAGAATCCTATCCATCTTAACGACGATCAAATGTAAGGCAAATTGTAGTTATTTAATTCACACTCCAGCTGATCCAAATACTGTACAGTACCTAGATAATTCAGTCGTTAAATTAGCCGGTCCATATTTAGCGCTGCCCGGTGTTCGGTCAGCTGCCTTCGATCCTGACAGAAGTGACGTCACTATAGCCCGCCCTCTCCCCTGTGGTGTGGCGCATCGCAGGACGCCATGGGACGTGTAGCTCGCCAGTTCGCCCCAGGCAATGTTTGTGCCTCCCGCCTGCGCATCGTTTGTCACCAAGGCGCCATTTGTCGCCGCCGCGGCCATTATCCGCCCTGTAACTTATCATTGGACGCGCCACGAGCGTCAGATGCGCCACAAAAGCGCCAGAAGCGTCACGCAGCGCCAATTTAGAGGGCTAGTGTTACGAACGAGCGCAGCATCTGGTTTTAAATCATTAACGATTATATTGGGCACCATTTACTTCTTGAATTAGGTGGGTTGGTTCCCATCCTGAGTGTTTGTAGATAAAAAGAAATTAGGTAAACGCATGAAGGAGAAATACATGAAGCTACATGCCCGTCGTTTTTGCGCCTCGTTTTGTGAATGGGGCACGATTATCGTTTATTAGTTAATCGTGTATTATTTGAGTACCCCAAATCTCCACATGCTTTCCATTTTTATCTGCTTGAAATGCTTATGAGCTGATCGATTGCCACTTAGCGGTTGAAATGAAGTGATAAATCAGACAGAGTCTGTCGTAACCCGTCTGAATGGAACACTCGGCGGTGTTCAGTAATTGGAAAACAAACCATCCACTCCGCAACTGCGTCCATTGAGTGAATCGCTGGTGCTGGGCTCCACCGGGACCTTTGAGAGGTCAGCCAATTAAGACACCGTCTTACGCTCTCATGAGCGGGGTCGAGTACGTGACCTAACGATCCGATGTTTTAATCGGAGCTGAGGGATTCCCTGCACGGATTTGATGACTAGAGGGATGCATGGAAGGTTAGGTGTAAAACGGTCGTCCTTTGCTTTTCACCACTGTAAGCACGGGAATCGCAGCCGTCACGATTGCGATTACAGTACGTTTACAATTAGAAAAAAAAAAACTGGTGCCGCGCTTTTTGCACAATTACCTTCAACGCTGGTCCCAGCAAGTCCGTTACTCTGCCATGTTCTGGGAGGTCATAAGTAAAGTTTTTGTCGTCTGGCAATTATTTTTCTCCTTTAACTTGCGTGGCTCTTCATTTGCATTAACGGCATGAACTGCATCACCCATAAGCGTCATTTAAGTTTATTTTCCTCCCGGCCGCAGCGCCCCGACGCTCCGGTCCTGAGAACTTCTCTGAGGGTCGCGGTCGGCGCAGGGCCCGCCGCCGGGCTCCTATACACAAAACGCATTGCCCAATCGCCTCCGGCCCCCGCGCCGTTCATTGAGCAACGTGAACACGGTGCGGCGTCTTTGCATTGTCCCACGCTGATGGCGGGTTACGAGCGTCGCCCCGCGGCGAGGCGCCGGCCGGCCGACAGATGTCCCTCGCCTGGGTCACGTGCGCCAGGGGCCTGGGTCACGTGCTCATAACACAGTCGGCCGGGGTGCTGGGATAACAGGGAGGGTCTGGGTTATTTTGGCACGTGGTGTTGCAGTGGCGCAGGTCACGTCCATAGAAATAGAGTGGCCCTCGTCTAGCTTTGTAGGTATCAGGAGGGAGGGTAGTGGAAGGGAGAGGGTTGGGGTGGGAAAGAGGTGTGGAGAGTGGGGGAGGCGGCAGAGTGACCGGAGGTATCGAGCGCAGTCCAGCCAGGAGTTGCTGCTTCAGCCACGCCGCCCAGTCTCGGCAAATAATGCTGAGTCAGCACTGGAACCGCCGCCCTCCCCGCGTGACCATGACTTCAGGCACGTAAAACCCTCGGATTAATCGGCAATAGAGCCATATGGTCCTGAAAAAACACCGACATTTTTTGTCGCTGATTTCTTTCCGAAGGCTAATTCAATGTCTAGTGAGGCGTCATTAATCCCCATTAAGCTATTACGCTCCGAAAAGCATTCAGTCGCCGGCTCGATTGGTGTTATTGTCTTGTTCCTGAAGATAGCGTTGGACTCACGGCGACTACAATGCGCGATTGGCCGCTATCACCTGGCCTGCTCCGTGGTGGACGCGGCGCGGTGACGACTGAACCGGCGCCTCCGCGTGACTTGTAACAGGGCCACTACGAGGGGTCACGGGATCTACGGTCACGCGGTGACGTGTAAAGATGTCAGGAGGAACGGCCGAAATGTCACCGCTGTCGGTCACAGCTCACGTGATCGCTTTATTCGCACCAGTTCTGGTGAAGGTGCGGCGAAAGGAAGTGGTTTATTACAATGTTCTTGGATGAAGACGTGACGTAGATGATTATTTTACCCTAGATTTTGCGACCTAATGCTTTTTGGACTGCATTGGCTGCCCAAATCCCACGGCAGTTTTTAAGTTCACCATATAGATGACATCAGAGTTGTTTTGGCTCAGTTTTGCGTAAACTCAGTTGTCCTAGTTCTGGTGCAGTGGCGTTCCTCATACCCCGCGTGTTCTGTCCTACCTGGGGACCAATCAGACGTGCCGCACGGGCGGTAAGGTACTGATTATGGGCCGCCGCGCACCAAACGGAGGGTCGGAGCGACTCGAGCGCGGTAGGGGTCGAACGGGTAGAGTGGGTCCAAACGGGAACCGAGCCGGAGAGAGGGAGGGCTGCGTGCCTGTCTGACACCCGGTGGTTAGCCGCCGCACCGTGTTATGATAGAAGAGGGGGAGGAACCGAGTGTAGGCTGCAGTCAGCCGCGGTTGAAGGATTTTCCTGTCAGAGAGCCGAGCATGAAGCGCCCATCCAGTGTTGATGTTTGTGGTCGTGATGGGAGATGTGGTATTGCATCGTTAGAGTTGTGTTGTTTCGTCAGTCTTACGGTATTTTTGACTGTGTGTGTGCAGAGAGGCTGTGGCGCCCGCCGCAGATGCTCATCATACCTTTGCAGTGACGCTGTGCGATGCTGCAGCTCGGGGAACTGAGCTCATCCGGTGACTGTCACCGCCGCCAGCGGATGACCGCAAGGCCGCCTGCTCCGAGAGGCCCGCGGTCGGATCAGGGCGGATCTGCGCACCGGTCCGACCGGTGCCAGGCGCACCTCCTCCGCCGCCGTCCGACGTATATGCTAATACACGGTCCCTGACGTGGCGTTCTTGTTGTTTCAGGCGAGGTAAAAACGTCCATCCGCGCCGGCTCTTCATTCAACGTGTCATGGCATCTGGGATACCCCCACCAGGTGAGATCGCGAGTCGCGAGGGAGACCGCTCGGGCACCTCTTATCCCGTCACTCCATCTCAGGGTCATGTTTGACGAGACGATGCAGCATGCACGATCTGCCAAGGACATGCGCTCTGGCTGTGTCTCTATTTGTTTCGCTTTCTTTGACCTGTCGGCGAGGTATGTGGGCCGTCGCCCTTCACCTCATTATTCGTATTGTCTGATCACTCTCGAGCCGTTTCGGCCATTCGCAGCGCTTCTGGGCGGGGATGCTGCGGATTCTCCGCTATTGTCTCCGGTTCTGTTGTCCGTCTCGTCTCTTCAGCTCTCACCTCCCCTCCCTCCCTCTCCCTCCCCCTCTCCCTCTCCCTCTCCCTCTCCCTCTCCCTCTCCCTCTCCCTCTCCCTCTCCCTCTCCCTCTCCCTCTCCCTCTCCCTCTCCCTCTCCCTCTCCCTCTCCCTCTCCCCCTCTCTCTCTCTCTCTCTTGCCTCTCTCTTTCTCTCTCTCCCTCTCTCTCCTCTTTCTCTCCTCTCTCTCTCCTCTCTCTCTCTTGCCTCTTTCTCTCTCTCTCTCTCTCTCTCTCTCTCTCTCTCTCTCTCTCTCTCTCTCCCTCTCTCCCTCGCCCCTCTCCGCTTCCCATTGTTGAGACCGACTCGCTAAGTTTGCTGAACGTCCTCGACTCGACTGAGAAACGGTGATTTGTTCTCGAGATGCCCCCCCCCCCCCCGGCCTGTTCACGGGTTCAACAGTCGGGTCGATTATTCGCTTGCTGTCTTCTACTCCTTTCCTTATTTAAGTGTCACGCTGCTTTTTGCCAATTGTGAAATAATTTGTTGCAACTTGCATTTTATCGAGATTGCTGTCTGAATAACAACGCATATCCCTTTTCTCACTGTCTCCTGCTGTCCTGTTATTTCCACCCTTTGAACATGAACGCGGCACACATGTGGGCGTAATTTTGCAGCCTTCTCCGTGCCACAGAGCCTGTGTCTCCTGTATTCTCACCCTTGCCTTTAGGCGGACACGGCGCCTTTGAACAATGCCCTCGTGATACAGCCAGAGCGCTTTCGTGAAATGCATGACGCGCTGAAAGCTCAGCCTTTGACCGACCGTCCACCCTTTCCCACGAAATTCGCTCTGGGAACTTCTAATTGATTTCCCCTGTGTTTTCGATTTTCAATCGGCTCGCTTGAACCACTTTGCTGTTTCACGTATCATGGCGTCATTTGGTCCCGCTGAACTTTCCCGGAAAGTGAATCTCACATCGTTCACAGCTAGGTATAACACGCTACTCTTACTACTTGCGTAATCACCTTATAATTGACCCTATTTCGAGCTTGACGACCTTCCTTTATGTGGTTGTAACGCTGCCGTTCTGACTCACAGGGTGGCTACAAGCTCGAGCTGCTGGACGCCAACGAAAAGGTCAAGATGGCTTTGACCGTGGGCGCCAACGAGAAGGGCTTCAACGACCAGGACACCACGTAAGTACTCACTACCCAGTGACCGTGACCCAACCGCTGACCCGTGATCCCTGTCACTCAGCCCGTCGGCCCGGCAACTCGCTGCCTTTTAAAGACCTTCCATCATCACTCCCTATGACCCCTGATGACCTTTTATGACCTCATTCGACCCCGTTGTAGGGGAGAGTGGGGTAAGATGCCCAGGGTGGGAAAGACGCCCCACCCCCTCTAGCGGCGAAACAAAGAATCGGACCTGGGAATTAATGTTCTTATCGTTAAGTGGAAGCCTGCCTTGTTAACTGCACAAAAAATTGCGAAGCTCAGTTGGGCAACGGCTGGCTGATGATTGCATGTTTTTTATTTGCTGCTTTCAAAAAATATTTTGGTGTCAGAACATTGTAAATATCAAAGAAGGTAAATAATTTTTGCGTCCCTTGCTATAGTCGTGATACATTAGCATGCGTGTACTGTGTCCCAAACAGTTTGTTTCAGGGTGTAGTTTTATGGCTAACAAATTGTACTGATTTAATGTTACTTCGGTACCTTGGGGTAAGATGCCCCCTGTCCTGATGGGGAAAGACGCCCCCCCCTAAATCCATAGGCTGTCCTTCAAACAGCCCGTCAAATCATTTATTACATACTTGTGATGTAGACAAAAGCCGATCTGGGACTACTGAGAGTCCAGTACGGTCGGGTGCTCCCTATGCCGGTCTCTTGGCTCACATAGCGACTTTTTGGGCGGCATCTGACTCTGAGAGCGCTCACGACGGCCTCTGTGGGCCCCATTATTGGCTCCAAGGCTCCTCACGACATCCTTTGAGGGCTCCCACGTTGGCCCCACGGGCCGCGCTGGCATCGGAGGTCCCCACGATGGGCTCGAGGGCCCTCAAGCATCATGAAGACCTATAAGAGCCCCACAGTGGTCTCCGAACGCCACCACGGAGGCTTGTTTGGCCGTGCTGGACTATGATGGCCCCAAAGATGACCTCTGAAGCCCCTCACGACTACTTTTGAGGGCCCTTATGATGACGTTTGGTGTCTACTGCAGGCTCGAAGGGACTACTGATTCGTTCAGGCGATTCACGTGCCCATTTATGTCACTTATAGTGCAGGGGGCATCTTTCCCAACGTCAGGGGGCGTCTTTCCCACCCTGTGGGGTAAGATGCCCCCTTTCACTTCTTCAGGAAAATGCTTAATAGCAAAAACAGTTATAATATTTCAGGCACGAAAGTGTGATATTTTTGGAGAAAAATGATGTCGGCTTCTGTTGAAACTCCAAGTTTTTGCTTTCCCATCGTCATTTTCGAATAATATATGACATAGTAAAACCCTGGGCATCTTTCCCCACTCTCCCCTACCCCACCTGTGAGAGGTAGCATCGTCTCCCATATTCGTTCCCAGGTCACCCTCTCCCCACCTCGGATTCCCACCTCCATCTATTCTGCATGCCACGGGCGAACGAAGGAGAAACTGTGTTTAGTGTTTGGGTCGTGCCTGGTGGGTGGCAGCGGCTGGGAAAAACGAGGAAAGTTATGGCCGACGGCGCTGTGGGTGGCTGCTTTCGGGAGGTGACACCGCCTCGAGCGTCACGGCCGTCACAAAACGGCGCGTGATGGGAGGGATGGGTCCGTACTCACAGTTGGGAAGCACTGAATGGGAAGCACTTCGTGCGCAGATTTTTGGTTATAGGGCTAGTTAACTAGGGTCTGATAATTAAAGTAAAAACCTGAGCTGAAACAGGATCCATTTATAGTTAATAAGCTGTGTTTTCAAGATTCCCGCAAACCTTGGCCATAAGTTACATTGGCTGAACTTTGACGCCACATTTTCTCACACTTGCCGGTGTCATGGCTACAGGGTTTCGACACGTGCCTTATAAATAAGCAACCCCACTAGATGCATGATTCATGGCCGGTCCCAGGCGCAATATATCTCCCCGGCCTCAGCGTGATCATGCAACTCTGTCTCGGTGGCGCCGTGGCGACCGCTGTGGTGACGGTAATTGGCGTGACCACGGTAAACTCACGGCGACGACCGCGATCCGACCACATGATCAGCGCGGCGGTGGCCAGGCTCATACCAGGGACAATGTGAGACTGCTAATGGCTATCTTCACCCGAGGTGTCACGACGCTTCTCGGTACACCTCCTCTCCTCGTCGTGCTTTCCGTGCCTTTGTCCGTCGGCTGCCCACCGTTGCGAGCTAACTACTAACTAGGTAGCACCTTTTGCAGAATTTGAGGACCCATGGGTGGTATGTGTATGGCCCCGTTATGACGGCTCTTTGACTCTCCCATTTGACGCTGCTAGACTGTGACTTGTCTGCTGACGTCACTGTGACGTCATTAGTGGTTTTGGAGGGCGCCGGGGGTGGTAAAAAGATATCCGGGACAGATTCATTATATTGCCATGATTCAGAGACCCGTTACAATTGGAGGCCGACTTTACCAGTCAGACCACAAGCAGGTACCTATGCTAAAAACTGGTTTCGGTTAAACTGTGAGCTGTAAGTACTCGACTCTCAATTAATCCTTTTCGAAGAGATAATGAGCATGCAAAAACTCCTGAAATGCTAAGAATTTTATTAATCTGTTTCGTCGGATTTCCAGTACCTAACCACCACGAGCGGCCGTGCGAGATAAATATATAGACAAATCTAGCTCGCACAACCTCCGAAACGTTTGGCTGCACTCCGGAGGTCACGGCACAGTTTCTGAAACTCTGCTACCGATCTCGCTATAATCTTCCGGTCTTTCTTGGTCGTTTGGCCGTCTCTCGCTTCGTAAACCGGAAGGAACGCAAGCTTAGAACAATGGCATCCATGCGCCTTGCTCCTGGTTCCCAGTGCATCGGACCCGGGACGCTACCCTTCTAGAACCTTCTTCTTGCCGGTCCCGTAGCTCAGTTGGTTAGAGCGTTGGACTCCGCGTGGTGAGAGCACGCGTTCCCGGTTATGACAGTCCGGGTTCGAAGCGCGACGGGCGCTCGACATTTATGGGCCTCCTGACAGGTATGGTTGCGGTTGGTGGCAGGCCGTAGCCAGGCGAAGTCAGAGAGGGGACCGGCCGTGCGCGGCTTTGTGCGCACGTTAAACTTTGGACTCCAAATTCTGCCATAGAATCGGAATTGCGCGATCGGAGGGTAGAGGGGAGGGTCATCGCAACAAGCTTCGCTTAGCGGTGGCTCTGTCCTTGTGAATCCTTCCCATCAAAAGGTTCGGACAAAATTTATAAAAAAAAAAAAATAGAACCCACCACCTCCCCATTACCGCCGCGGGTACCGCCTTGGTTGGTTACCGAAGCCAGGTGTTCAGCACGGCGGCTGTCCTTGGTCGGTGCCGGAACTACGGCGGTTGGGGTCGGAGACGCGGCACCCCGACAGAGCTCCAGATCTGGAACCGGCTCCGCTGGAAGCAGGAAGCGGGCCGCCCGGGAGCCTGCGGAGGAAAAAATGAAGGTCGGACCGCCCCGACGACGGCCGCCCGGAGGCTGGCACGCGCGGTAGCCAACTGAGGGTGGATGGACGATTTAGGGCGGTGAAGCTAAGCTCACTAGATACCTCTTTCCTCTGGTTTAGTCATATTTTTTTATTTCTTTGTCGAAAAAAGTCGAAGAGTCACGACGACGCAATATGCTTCAAGCTACCCAGCCCTCGCCCGGCTCGGCGGTGTGTATGCGGTGCGTGTGTGGTCGGGGTGACGGCCCGCCTCAGAAACGGCCCAGCGCACGGCGCCCGGCCAGGCGTGAGGACAACACCGCCGGCCGTGACGACACGAAGGCACGTGTGACGTGACGACACGGCGACGCGTGTCGTGACGAGCCGGCGGTCACGAACGCACGGAGACGGTGGTTGTGGTGGATGTGGCGAAGGCCCGGAGAGGGGTCGTGCTGCTAAACTCGGTCAGACGAATGTATGCTGCCTTATTTGTCCTTTGGGTCACTGATATCCTGGAGTTAGACCTACCGATGGACAGCTAGTTATCATGATGGACAGCTAGTCCATCATGAGTCTAGTTGGCCATGGAGCTCTAACGCCGTCCCGACGCTAGCCGGCTCCGCCGATCCGACTCTGGCCGCGTCCCGATGGGATAAGGTGTGGTTCGCCGGTCACCGAATTGGACCAGGGGAGCGCGGCGGACCGTCGGGCGCCCCTGACCTCCCGGGGACGACCTTGGACCGACTGAGAGCGGCGGCTCGGTGCCGGCGCTGGGCTCACCTCCACCCCACCCACCGATATCTGGGAGCCGCGGCTGGGTGTGGGGAAGGCGAGGTCGCTCGGCGCGGCGCCAGCGCGAGCTCAGGGGCACACCTGGGGCACGCGGCCGACCCTCGGCGGCAGCACGGGTGGCGAGACGCGCCGGCCCGGCTCGACCCGAGCCCAGCTGTGGAAGGAGGGCGTGGTCGCCGACGCCACAGCTGGTGGATTGAGCTGTGGTTCTCGGACGTCATCAACACGGGATATCGTAAATTCGCTCATACAAAATATCCCGGGTGGGGATTGTAGGTATTTCGTTTTGATATCGAGTGCCTACGTCAGAGAATTGCTCGACCAAGTGCACTTACAAGGTTATATGGTTTGGCACTTCATTATTTCGAAATCTACCCTGTGAACTCTGCGCGCTATGCGGGGTCATTAAACTGCTCTGGCCCTCAAACGGTCGACGGTGTGTCACAATACAGATGCCGATTGCCCGTTAACCTTCAATACCCTGGGAAGGGTCTGACATGTAATCTCACGAGAAAGCTCGCTTCGAGACTCGTCATTCTCACGATATTCATATTATAAGTACATACCTATAGGACATGTGGTTTATTTGAAAGGCGTCGTCATCCAAAGGTTCGCGTAGGTGCCGTTTCATAAGAAGATATATTGAAGCTGGCTGTGTTTTGTATCAGTAATGTTCTTTTCATTCAACTCTTTTGCGATATTGAAATGCCTGCTTTCGTTGACAATTGTTGTCGTTACAACAATTCCACAACATCGATCCGGCCCGGAGGACCATTAATTGTTGTCGTTACAAC